ATAGATTGTGGTCTGTAAACACTGTTTCCTGCTGGGTGAGTCCAGAGTTCAGACAAGAGATACTCAAGATAAACTGGAGAGATCTCTTTGTGCCAGAAGGAAGAGAAGGTGGGATTCCATCAAAAGGATGCAGGAATCATTTGAAGGAGCTCCCACTTGGCTAATGATGGAACAGTTTGAGCATCAGAATAAAACTAAATTGATTAAAATACATCAAACAAGCTAAAATCCTAGAGAACGTAATGATTCCCCTCCCAAGAAGAGTAAGCTATGATTTAAATTCTATTAATAACTGTAAATTACCTTACTTTTAAGTATCTTTGATTATATCAGTTGTCTTTAGAGTTATTTGCTTCTGGGAGCTGCTTGTCCATGTGAGTGTACATACATTTCACTTGAAATATATAAAATTGTTTTAACACTGAAGTCATTAGATGCATTTTTAGAAATTTTGTTTAGAATAGAAAGCACTGGTTGCTGATCAAAATGTCCAGAAGGATTTTGATTCTAGGTTTATAGAGGAGCCTTCTTCAGTGGAAGTAGTCATAATTTGAACTCCGTGGTTTTTAAGTCAAAACTGCTATATCCTCCTTGGAAAGTGGACTGTAAAGTGTCATGTGTGGAAATAATCATATCTCAGGGTCATCACGTCCACAACAAAACCTCATTATTACTAACGGGACCACAGTTGTATCCATTGGCCAAACATATAAATTAGGAGTAAGTACAACTTCTTCACCTCTGGTTAACTGTTCAGTTGGTCTTACCAGTTCTACTCTCTGAATTTTCTTTTGATTCTGTTTCACTACCCCTGCCTCCAAGTCTAATAATAGCATTTTCCTACATAATTTTTCAGAAATAATCTCATCTTCCCTAGCTATGGTTCCTAACCTTTTCGAATACCAAGATTCCATTTTAGCCTTGATATATCTGTGGATCTTTTATGCAATAATAACTATCTTTATATATAAAGAAAATGCATCTGACAGCTGGTTTGTATTGAATGATATACATGTTGGTGAATTTATATTCTGACAGTCATAATGATCTAAATATGTGATTGCTTCTCCTTTTCTCTACAAACATGTAATCTTAGGCGTTAATAATTTTTTTAAGTGTTATTTTCTTATATGCACTACATTCTTTGCCAGTAGTTTTTGCTCAGTATGTTCAGACACATCGACCCATAGGGTATTTTATTACTTTAAATTACTTGTCCAAGTCTCTTCCAGAGCCATGCTGACTCTCCTGCCTTCTTCCTCCTCTCCAGGCTTGTAGCTTCTTCTTGTTCCTAGTGTCTTGAAATTTTACAGTGATGTACCTTGATTTAGGTTTATTTTAGTTGATTGTACTGGGCACTACTGGGCCCTTTTAATCTGGAAACTCTTTTAGACCCTTTAAAGATAATACACTATCTTCTCCTGTGGAGAGAGATGGTCAGTTGCCCAGATATGCAGATTTGGGAATATCTGGCAACTTGTTTCTTAAATAGACTTTTAATCAGTCTTATTTTTAGCTTTTTCCTTTCCCTCTTTTCCAGAGGAGGTCCTAATTTCTGTGGATTTTGATGAAAGGTAGGGAGAAGACAGAGATGCCATAAATTAAGTTGCTTCTCCACCCTGTCCATTGCATTCTTAGTTTTTAGCTCTCTCTGACCTGATCAGTCACTTTTGAATTTCTTCTTTATACCTTCCAGTATTCATCTCTCATCCCTTGGTCCTTTTAATGATTCCCCTTCCCTTTAAAATCCTTATACTGTAATTATAGTAGGGTATCAGGAGGGAATGAAGTTAAATATGCGTCTAGCCTTCAGCAGATGGCTTTATTTTCCATTCATACCTAAAATAGAGACCTTGTGATGACATGAACTTCTGAGATTCAGTTTACCAGCTTACCTACTACATCTTTTCCATCTTTATTCCAAATCTGTTTTTTTAATAAGCTTTATTGAGGTCAGATTTAATTATTTTCTGAACTTCGTTTCCTGTTGCTTTTAATCAGAATCTGTGATAACTTTTTATCCTCTTATCTTTTAGTAGATAGCATAATACTTGGCCCACTGTAAAAGTTCTTGTATTTTTTAACTTTTCTTTAGACATTCCCTTTACCTCTTGCTCAAAACTAGAGAATGCTGTCATCCATGGGTACTATTTGCTTACCTTGAGAATGTTTCAAAATGCAAGGAGGTGTATTTGATGGTGATCATGCTCTTGGCACATAATGAACAGAGACCAGAGATGCTAAAAGCCCCTCGATGCATGGAGTAGTCCTGAACAATAAATCCTTGTCCGACTCAGAATGTCAATAATCACCCTGGAGAGAAACATTGCTACAAGTTTTAAAGGCAGCTTGTCTCTGCCTTGAGATTAGTACTTGCTCATAACCCTCTCAATATGGTGTCTGTTTTCATTCCTTCCCTCTTAACAGTGGGGCTAGAGCATGGAAGATTCCTTCTTGGTCCTCATTGCTGCATCCTGACTACTGCCTTCTTATCTTCCTAAAAAATAAAACAAAAATAAACAAAAAAATCTCACTGTGCTTGAATTTTATGCCGTCATTATTATTATAAAGGGAAGCACTCTCACTTATCCTTCAGAATTTTCACCTGTGACAATCAGCTCATGATTGATAACCTATATAATTATATTATAAATAAAATAAGATTATTTCTCAATATATATGCAACAAGCTGTTTTTTGTCTAATTTATTGATAACAGGTAGATTGATTTTTGGATAGTGAGTATATTTTTTCTAACTTACCTTTTCTCTAATTAAAAGCCATCCTTTTTTTTTTTTTTTTTAATAACACACAGTATACTATTAGTTCTGGGTGTACAATATAATGATTCAACAGTTCTGTACATGCTCAGTTCTCAACACAATAAGTGGCTCAGATGATTAAGTGTCTGCCTTTGGCTTGGGTCAGGATCCCAGGGTTCTGGAATCAAGCCCCATGTCTGGCTCCTAGCTCGGCAGGGAGCCTGCTTCTCCCTCTCCCTCTCCCTCTGCCTCTCCCGTGCTCATGTTCTCTCTCTCTCTCTCTCTCTCTGTCTCAAATGAATAAATAAAATGTTTAAAAAAAAAAATCCCTTTCACCTATGTCACATCACCTCCCACCTCCCACCTCCCTCCCTTCTGGTAACCACCAGTTCTCTGTTTTTAAGAGTCTGTGCCTTGGTTTGTCTCTTTTTTTCTTTATTTGTTTTTTTTCTTAAATTCCACACATGAGTGAAATCATATGTTATTTGTCTTTCTCTGACTTATGTCATTTGGCATTATACCCTTTAGATCCGTCTATGTTGTTGCAAATGGCAAGATTTCATTCTTTCTTATGGCTGAGTAATCTATTTGTGTGTGTGTGTGTGTGTGTGTGTGTACCACATGTTCTTTATCTTTTCATCTATAGGTAGACACTTGGGTTGCTTCCATAACTTGGCTATTGTAAATAATGCTGCAATAAATATAAGGGTGCACATATCTTTTCGAATTAATATTTTCATTTTCTTTGGGTAAATAGCCAGTAATGGGATTACTGGATCTTATGGTACTTGTATTTTTAAGCTTTTGAGGACCCTCTATACTGGTTTCCACAGTGGTTGCACCAGCTTGTTTTCCTATTGACAGTGCACGAGGATTCCTTTTTCTCCACATCCTTGCCAATACTTGTTTCTTGTGTTGATTTTAACCATTCTGATGGATGTGAGAGGATATCTCATTATGACTTCAGTTTGTATTTCCCTGATGTTGCGTGATGTTGAGCATCTTTTCATGTGTCTGTTGGATATATGTTTGTCTTCTTTGGAAAAATATGTATTGATGTCATTTGCTCATTTTTTAAAGGATTATTTGTTATTGTTGTTCTGTTTTGATTTTGATTTTTGTGTTGAGTTGTGTAAGTTCTTTATGTATTTTAGATATTAACCCCTTGTCAGATACATTATTTGCAAATATCTTCTTCCATTAGTTGGATTGTATTTTTGTTGTTGTTGATGGTTTCCTTTGCTGTGCAAAAGCTTTTTATTTTCATGTAGTTCCAATAGTTGAATTTTGCTTTTGTTTCCCTCGCCCAAAGGAGACATATCTCGAAAAATGTTTCTGCAGCTGATGTCTTAGAGATTATTGTCTACGTCGTCTTCTAGGAATTTTATGGTTTGGGGAATCACATTTAGGTCTTTAATCCATTTTGAGGGTGTTTTGTGTATGGTGTAAGAAAGGGATCCGGTTTCATTCTTTTGCATGTAGCTATTGAGTTTTCCAAACACCATTTGTTGAAGAGACTGTCTTTTTCCCATTGCATATTCTCTCCTCCTTTGTTGATTAATGGACCATAGAATCGTGAGTTTATTTCTGGACTCTCTATTCTGTTCCACTGATCTTTGTGTCTGTTGTTGTGCCACTACCATACTGTTCCGCTTATTACAAAAAAACCACTTTTTTTTTTAAGGTTTTATTTATTTATTCATGAGAGACAGAGAGCGAGCAAGCGAGCGAGAGAGAGAGAGAGGCAGAGGGAGAAGCAGGCTCCCCAAGGAGCAGGGAGCCCAACGCGGAACTCGATCCCAGGACCCCGGGATCATGACCTGAGCTGAAGGCAGACACTTAACCATCTGAGCCACCCAGGCACCCCAAAAAAAGCCAACACTTTTGAAATGCCTTTTGCTGACTCTAGTGTACCATTTTGTAAGGGTTATTTCTTTAAAATGCAAATGTAATAATGACAACATGGTACCTGTTATTAGGATGTGATTAATTATGATTCTATGTGAGATGTATAGCTGTATGTATTATACACTTCATATCAAATTTTATATCAAATCCATTTTTAATGGATTGTCTTGTAAAAGTGTATCTAATGCCAGAATATTGACTACCTCATGTGTTTGTGTGTATTCTGAGATTTAGTGTGTGATATTTAATACATTGTTTTCTTTACCTATGTTTTACATGAAGCAGTGACTTGGATTATTTAGTGTTACCAATGATTCTTTCTCGTTTTTAGGTTGTGGAAAATGCCCTTAAAGTGAACCCGGTATTAGGTGCACAAATGTTTCAACCGATTCTACCCTGTGTTTTCAGAGGTATTATAGAAGGAGAGGTAAGATTTCCTTAAGCTTCTAAGGATAGTAATGGACTCTAGGGTTCTACTTTTAATTATTTTCCTTCTTCATTGGAAAATTATTTCTTCTTTGTTGTTAGATATTAAAAGCTTTTCTTATTATTGGGTTGTTTTGAAGTAAATTAAGTAATTTTCAGGGTAGTTATATAGCTTGGCCTTTTCTTTCTCCGGAAACTATAGCTTTTTTTTTTTTTTTATAATCTCTCACTTACATGCATGTATATTCATTCACAAAGATTTGAAGCAGAGTAATGGGAAAGAATAGTGCTGGTTGTAGTACATATTGAATATATGAAAAATACCGGTTATTTTCTAAGTCAGTCTCTTTAAGTGAATCCACGTAACCATGTACTGTACGAGTATTTACAGTAATATAAATAAATAAGCCATTGGTAAATATTCTTTCTGTGTTCCTCTGTCTTTAAAATCCACATTATATGTATATTACCTTGTATGACGTATATTTAGAAAGTTACTTATAACTCAGGTAATATTGGCAGTATATCCTAAAGCGATTTTGAAGGAGAATATTATTTTATTTTTATTTATTTATTTATTTATTTTTTAAAGATTTTATTTATTTAGTTGACAGAGAGCACAAGCAGGCAGAGCGGCAGGCAGAGGGAGAAGGAGAAGCAGGCTCTCCGATGAGCAGGGAGCCCGATGCGGGTCTCGATCCCAGGACCCTGGGATCATGACCTGAGCCGAAGGCAGCCACTTAACCGACTGAACCACCCAGGCGCCCCGGAGAATATTATTTTATATCCCTGTTGACTGTTACCATGTCTGTGATTGTTCATAGTCATGTTTATACTCACACCTTGATATAATTTTATGTGTGCTGTATTTTAATTGTACAGAGGTATCCTGTCGTGATGTCAACATACCTTGGAGTTATGGGTCGAGTCCTGCTACAAAACACTAGTTTTTTTTCTTCACTTCTTAATGAGATGGCACATAAATTTAATCAGGAGGTAAGAATCAATTTACTTAAATTGAAGAAAGTCTTTTCAAATAAGGATTGAAAATAATTGGGGTAAATAATTTAAAACTCTTGTATTTAAAATTTTGTATTTTAAAACTTTAATAACTTATATTTTACCCATGATTTTGAAGAAGAAAGAAAAAAGAATCTCTGAATGGCAATTGAAATTTACATTTGTTCTCTTTCATAATAGCCAGTTTTATTCTGTTTAATTGTAGGATGGAATTTTGTTTCGTTTATGGTTGCAATTTTTTGTTTACTCACACTTAAAAGGAAACAAATACTTTACATATAATTATTTACAATCTTTGTTCCATTCCTTTATTGAGCTTGTTCTTAGTGTCATGTGATGAGTTTCCATCATAATTATTATGGGAAGTGACTTTCTCAGCAAAGGCTTACTTAAAAAAATACTGTAACTAAAACCAACCACCAGGGTAAGTATAGGATAGGTTCTTGAGTGAGATGTTACTTGAGACTATATACATTATATTAAAATATGGTTTTTATGTATTAAGTCCTTAATCTTTTAAGATTTGTAAGATGTGGAAAGTTGAAAGTATTTGATGTCTTTAGAATGGAGGCAATTTGTAAAATCTTTTGGTTTGTGAAACAAAACTGTTTCCACTTTAAGGAAATCTAGAATAAGAATGTACATAGTTTTTTTAGAATTAGATTTCGATGTAATCTAATTAGAAATCCTAGCCTTTGTTTAGATGAATAGATAGGTAAGGTTTTTCATTACTTTTATTAAATTTAACTGCGATGGGCTAATATTAAAGTTAAGTGGTTTATTCAATTGAGTTCAAAATTTGTTGAGGGGCACCTGGGTGGCTCAGTCGTTGGGCGTCTGCCTTCGGCTCAGGTCATGATCCCAGGGTCCTGGGATCGAGCCCCACATCGGGCTCTCTGCTCGGCCGGGAGCCTGCTTCTCCCTCTCCCGCTCCCCCTGCTTGTGTTCCCTCTCTAGCTGTCTCTCTCTCTCTCTCTCTCAAATAAATAAAATAAAAATCTTTAAAAAAAAAAAATTTGTTGAGTGATTTTAATAACAGTATATTTAACAACAATATAAATGTCATGTATTAAATTCTCACAACAACCCATTGAGATAATAGTATTTTAATTTCCATCTCACATATGAGAAATCTGAGGCTTATAGAGATTTACTGACTTGCTCAATTTCACACAGCTAGTAAATGATGGCGTTGCTTTATATACTCCAGCAACCTAACTTCAGAGCCTGATAACTCAGTGACCACACTGTGCTACCTCCTGTCCGTCCTGGAACAGGCACTTTACACTATACACTGGAGACACTTGTTTTGACAAGCTTAGAGTAACCTTCAGGGAAAAGAGTACTTGAATGGGCAATTTCACAATAATTATATGAGTGTTATGTCAGAGATATGTTCAGTATGCTGTGGGAAGAGAAAAGGTATCTACTATGTTACATTTTTTCCAGGTTTTTTTTTTTTGTGTGTGTGTGATAAAATACATAAAACATAAAATTTACCCTCCACAATTTTTAAGTGTATGGGTCAGTGCTTTTAAATATATTCATAATGTACAATCATCAGCACCATGCATAGGCCGCCTCGACTGGGCTTAATTTCATAATAAAGAGAAATAATGAACCGTGGCTACTGCTCGTACTGTTAGAACCCATTGGCAGTGTGAAAGATTGAGGAAAGAGCTGTTATCATTGGTTCAGACTTATTTCCGATCCTGTCTTTAGAGCACGGGCTTTTCATGGAACAACACCTCTTATCTTTTCTCTTTTCATTTTTCATTACGAAGAGGACATTTTTTTTTCCTCAGAGAATTTGACAAAACATGTCAAGTCATCATATTTGAGTGTAGAGATGAGGGAGATGAAAGTGAATAAAATAGTATTCTGGTTCAAATGGCTACTTCTGACTGTGAGCACAGTTCTGAAGAACATCAAAAATATATGCAAGAATTAAATAGGGCTAGGCAAATGAGTTCCAGTAAATCTAGAGAGCTTTGAAGGAAGCAGGGATGTTGGAGAAAGATTTCTCTTTTCAACACTTGAAAACAGTATGAGATAGTAGAGTAAGTCAAGTTAAATTAAGAGTGATTTTCTATCGGGCGCCTGGGTGGCTCAGTTGGTTAAGCAACTGCCTTCGGCTCAGGTCATGATCCTGGAGTCCCTGGATCGAGTCCCGCATCGGGCTGCCTGCTCAGCAGGGAGTCTGCTTCTCCCTCTCCCACTCCCCCTGCTTGTGTTCCCTCTCTCGCTGTGTCTTTCTCTGTCAAATAAATAAATAAAATCTTTAAAAAAAAAAAAAAAAAAAAAGTGATTTTCTATCTTTGGGAGAGGAGCTGGACTCATTGCAGCGGTCACCGTTAGAAAGGTTTGTCCTCTAAGCATTTGTTATTCGGAGTGTTTGAGAGTTGCTTGTTTATATTGAATGAATAATGAAAATTTTTTAGACTGATCACCTAATTGAGAGCTTAGAGCCTTGGGGTATTGAAGAATCATGGTTTGTTATAGGGAAATTTACTAGAAAATCAAAGTATTTGTAGGCCCTTTTTTTCCCTTTTTATCCTGCGGGGTAGCCTCTCTTCAGGTATGAACAACTGTTGTGGAACTCAGGGTAGGGGAGAGGGCTTTTCCAATGAGGGTGTCTCACCATTCAGGATCTAGATTTTCATTTAAATCATCTGAGTTTATGTGGGAGTGGGAAAGGGGATCTACAAGGTTCTAGTTGTTCTTATACAGATTCTCAGTCAGTTTTCCTGTTTTGGAGCTCTGTGCCTCACGTCTGCCTTCTTTGTGGTCTGGGGATTGCAGGGTTCTGAGAACCAAAGCTGCTTATCTTAGATTGTCATTCCCCTGGCAGGCAGCTTGGTTTCAGGCTTTTCTCTTCTGCCCAGTCACTTAACATTCTTTTGTCCACCTGCCATCCTCCAAACACTGTTGCCATCTTTACCCAGTGTAGTTTCTCTTCTTTATAGACCCTATGGGATTATTCCTTTGCTTTTTATATTTCTTTACTTTCATTGTAGTGGGCTTTCAGGGGGGTCCAGCAAATGCATATTTTCAGTACTAAGATTGTTTTCATAATGTCTATATGCTTCCACGGTAAATAATTATAAAGATGTCATAAAAATGTAGCTGAGTAATTTAGGTAATATTACTGGTTTATCTTTGTACAAAACATTTGTTCCATTTGTCCTGTTTAGAATTTTCAGACTTTACTGAACGTTTACTTCAGAGCAACCATGTTGAGTTTTCTAATTATATACATAGCGTTTTATCACTTCCTTGTTGCAAACCTCCTCAGTTCTGAGATTTCTTTTAGATCGAGCAGTAAGTCTAACCTCTCTAATGTAGGTTTGCCTACAAACACCTACTGTAATCTGGTTCTTGACTCCTTTAGCCGCTTCTGGAGCTCATTGATCAGGCATTCACCACACAGAACATTTTTCAGTTTCTTGAGAGCACCTGTCTTCCTCTTGCTCCAGAGGCCTTGCATACAGGCTTTTCATTCCCTGTCCCACAAACACTCCCTACCAATCTCTCACCTTCTTTAACTTGATTCCTCATCTTGTTCTATTTTACCTTAAAGCTCAACTCCTCTGGGTAACTTTGCCTTAGTCTCCCAAGTTTTAGTTAGGTCTTTCTAGGTGTTCTTGTGGTATTGGGAACTGTGTATTTATCATCAGGGCCAGATTTGGGTGAGACAAGTGAGTTGCTGAGAATGAGCACCTCCTTACATTTTGTACCTTACACACCTTTTTTTGTTTTATCCTTGTTCTGGCTCTGTTCATGTGCTCCCCAGGGTCAGCAGACTACGTATGGCCTATGGGCCGGATCCAGTCTACTGCTTGTTTTTTCAAGTCTGTGAATAAAGAAGGGTTATTATGTTTCTTATTGGTTGAAAAAATAATAGGATTTCCTGATACATGAAAGTTATCCAAAGTTTTGTACTGGGACACATCCGTGTCCATTTTTTACATGTTGTTTATGACTGATGTTGGAAGTTGAATAGTTGCATCTGAGAACATATGGCACACAAAGCCTTAAATATCTACTTAACTGTCCCTTTACAGAAAAGGCTTGCTGATCCCTGTGTTCTGATTGCTTGTTTAATTAAAGTCCCCACAAATTCACTGTTCTGTGATGTTATTAAGTATTTTTATAATGAAAGAAATAAATAAGTTATAAATAAAAATAGACAATAGAGATACCTGTCTATGCTGTTGAATCTTTATTCTAACCAGGTACGTTATTGTAGCTTTAGTTGAATATATTACATTTTAATGATAACTTGATATTTGCTTTTATAATGGGTAATGGTTTGTTTTTAAAATCTTGCTTACTAGATAATAATTGCAGTAAGTCTGGAGAACATCTCTACCATTTGTTTCCAAATTATATGTGAATTGAAGACTCGTGGTATATATCAGAAGTTACTGAATGGTAGTGTTTCATGGTTCCCTTAGTGTGTTTGTAATATTTTCACAGTGCTCATAGGCCAAAAGAAATAAAAATATCTAATAGTTCCTTCTGTTAAGTGGTTGGGTCCAGACAGTTTAGTACGTACTTTTGTCCTAATAACTTAGTAGTTATTGAAAAATAATACACAAAAGTCTAAAGAAAGAATATCTTTATTTCATTCTTAAATATCCACAAATACTCACTAATGGAATATATGTGCCTATTGAGCACCACTCAGATTCTCTTAACTTCAGAATCAGTTTGGACTCCTCCACCTTCACTTTTTGTTTTACCTGGATTTCTGGGTAGTACTTTGTAAAGATAGGAAGTCATCACAAGGAACATTTTTTGCAGTATCTGACCAATATTTCTGTGTTTCTCTGAGTAATTGTAAATATTCTGTGAGTTCATTGTGGCATCTTAGGATGTAGCACACAGTTTGCAGAGCTCAGATATAAATAACTGTCTTGAACTAATTAGTGTTCCCTTGACTGTTTATTTTTATGTTTTTTAAGATTGACTGACTTATTTATTTTATATAGAAAGAGTGCATGTGGGAGCAGGGCGAGGGGCAGAGGAAGAAGGAGAGAAGCAGACTCCCCACTGAGTGTGAAGCCCGTCCTGTTGTGGAGCTCAATCCCATGACCCTGAGATCATGACCTGAGCAGAAATCAAGAGTGGGGTGCTTAACCAGCTGAGCTACCCCGGCACCTGTCCTTGACTGTTTTATTACTTTTAAAAAATGTTGAAGTATTTCTTGGAAAATATGTAGAGGCATAAAAGTAGAAGAGTGTGGGAACTTAAGATTGATTTTAAGTTACCAAAATCCATGAGGTAGAGATTTTGATATTAAATGCTTTTTTTGAAAGGTGCTGTAAGTGGAAAAGTGTTTATGAGGCAAACCCTGAGATTCACAATAGACTTTCAGTCTGTATGATCAGTACAGTTGGTTGTGTTTTACTTTCTAGATTCTGAGTGTATCAGTCAAGGTTCTCCAGAAAAAATAGAATCTATTGGGTGTGTGTGCATGTACACACATCACATGCCCCTACACACAAAGATGAGAAAGAAAGAGAATATGAGAGATACGAGAATGGTGGGGAGGGAGGGAGTGATTTTAAGGAATTGGCACAAATTATTATGGGACTGGCAAGTTCTAATTTTTTAGCGAAGCCTGGAAACTTAAACGGGATTTCTGTGTTACAGTCTTGAGGCAGGATTTCTTCTTTTCTGGGAAACCTTAATTTTTGGTCATAAGGCAAAATTCACCTGATTGAAGCCCAACCCACATTATGTAGGGTAATCTCTTTTCTTTAAAGTCAACTCTTGGTACATGTTAATCATATCGACAAAATGCTTTCACAGCAACATCTAGACTAGTATTTGACCATAAAACTGGACACCTTAGCCTAGCTAAGTTGGTAAGTACAATTAACCAGCACACTTTCTACTTCCGTATTATGATTGATTTATTTTTCTTTTTTTTTTATAAAGATTTTATTTATTTATTAGAGAGTGTGAGTGAGAGTGTGCAAGCAGAGGAGGAGGGAGAAGCAGACTCCCCGCTGAGCAGGGAGCCCAATGTGGGGCTCAGTCTCAGGACCCTGAGATCATGACCTGAGCTGAAGGCAGACACTTAACCGACTGAGCCACCCAGGCACCCCTTATGTTCATTTTTTTTTAATATAGTATATAATGTCCTAGAAACTGACTTATTTTTTTTTTTGAAATTATGTACGTTGAGGTTGTAACCTGCCCTTTCCTCTGAAAGTAGCAACAAATCAGTCCAGCAAATTACACCTTAACATTTAAATATCTAATCATCCAACGAAATAACTATTACCTAAGTACAAGTTGACAGTTTTGAAAAATGCATGTACTTTTTTAGTGTACCCGGAAGAATGTATTGGATTGGTGATTTATTAAATGAAATTACTAAAATCACTCATCGGCTGTATACTGGTTTTGAACAGTCTCTAGCTCTCAGAATAAACTGGCTCCCAAGATTAATTAGAGTCATTTTCTGGTTTTGCTCAAATTATTCCTTTCCAGCTCAAGGCTTGCCCCAATTTCTTGTATTTCAATTTTGTAGTTTATTGGAATTGAACTTTAACCATGCCTTATGAGCCTCTAGACTTTAACAGTACTTATCCACAAGTAAATAGCATTTCATATATTTTGAGATGCCTCTTGCTCTTTTTTCAGATGGACCAGCTTTTGGGAAATATGATTGAAATGTGGGTTGATCGCATGGACAACATTACGCAGCCTGAAAGAAGAAAACTTTCAGCTTTGGCTTTGCTTTCTCTTCTGCCATCTGATAATAGGTGAGGAAATGTTTTTTAAGAATTTGTTTCTTTAAAGCATCAAAATATTATCACCGTTTTTGGCCATTGGTATTGCTGCATGTTGCTGGGCAGTATTTTATGTATATGTGTGCTCATTTTGTTAGTAGATAATGCTGGGGTGGGTGTTGGTCTGGATCTAAAAAGATGTGAATGGGGGTGGTAGGCACTGCAGTTCAACTTGGTCATATTCATTTAATAATTTAATTTTTGTCTGAATTCTCATTTTTTTGTAATCAGATTTTACTAGACTTATTTTAGGTCCTTTTTAAATATAAGATGAATATGTAATAATATGTCAGTAGCACTTCATAAAAAGTGTCCTCCTAGTAATTCAAAAGAATGTTACATAATTCATTAGTTTTTTATTTTGGATTATCTCCAAAAAAACTTGCAAGTACTTTTTTCTCGTTACATCATTGAAGTCATTTTATTATAGTTTACAAACTTTGTTAAAATTCTCATTTCCATAAAGCAAATGCAAAATGCTTCGCTTTGGACGTTATATGCAAATATCTATTTTCTTTATTTTTACCCCTGTCTTTGGGAGTTTTGCATTATCTGCTTTTTTTTTTTTTTTTTTTTGGTACTTTTAAGTTTAAAGGCGTAAAAGCAGGTCTTAAGACTTGATTTTGTAGAAGAATAAACTAGATCATTTTGTCTTAGGGAACTTTCAAACACATCAATCCTAATGATAAATTAGTGAAATAAATCCAGTTTAGCTTTAGAAATCCTTGTTAAAAATGTAGGTATTATTTATTTCTAATATAATAGTTTGAATTAAACACATAGGTAATTGTTTTGTCCTAACACCATAATAATAGATACTGATTACTGAGCACGTACTGTATGTCTTTATATTTTGGTACATGTTTGACATTTATTTCTCATTCAGTTTTTAATATAGTCCTGAGGTATAGGCATGATTATTTTCTTTTTATAGAGCAAAGAAATAACTTAAAAATGTAAACTAACTTGCCTAGTGTGTGGCATGTGGCATGACATAGGGCATATTTTGACCTGGGGCAACTGAATGCCAGGGTTTGCTCTTTTTTAACTACCAGGTGGTGCCCTTTCTGAGGTGGACATGCGCAAGATCAATATATTTTTCCTAACTGTGAAATCGAGTGGTATTTTATTAATTTTTGAAAACCAAATTTTAGCTACCTGTATTTTATTGTTGTTTCCTTTTCTTCATGGATAAATAGTGACTTGAGATTATTCAGGCCTTTAAAATGGAAATGTTAAAAAATGTGGTCTTTGGCAGTAGCCAGCACTATGTAAACATTTGTGGAATAAATTAATGAATGGAAAAAAAATACTAAGGTTAGAAAAGCACCTTAGGATTTTCTTTAATGTAAAGTACTGAAATTACCGAGGGTAAATTAGGAATGACACACATTAGTTGAAGAAGGATATCTAATTGTATCTAAAGTATATTTGTTTTACATTTTTTATGAGACAACTGTTTTGCTTTAATTTTATATAAGTGTGTGGTCAAAAAATACGTTTTATATATAAGTGGCCAAAATAGTCGGCTCTTCTAAGGAAAATACAATGTTTCTTTAAGTCAAGAATAGACGGGAGTGAGGAGGGGCTCATGTCATTCTGTCTAAATTGAGGGGCAGAACTTTAATAAGACTTGGAGTTCTCTTAAATATTAAGATTTCAGATTGCAAAGTTGGGAGAAGATAGTTGTGATTGGAAGATCGGATCTTGTTTTTAAAATGAAGTAAGTATTGGAAAATCTTTTGGGCACTAATGAATTCATGTCATTTTAAGGGTACCAAGAAAGTCTTGAATAATGTAGTAATAGAATTTTAAAGAATAATTATTTAACTTTATAGTCGGATTAGTGACTAAAGAAACATTGATAGATACAGAAAATGTAATGATCTGCAAAACAAACAAAAAACTTAATTGCTGTGTAAGTTTGCCACATTGTCACTGGCCCATGATAGAACTTACGGAGATTTATATTCACATTGTCTAGTGGAAGGTAATGTGGAAATTTAGGTCAGCAGTTTTATTGTTTTCTTTTATTACTTTTCCTCTACTTAAACTATGTAGTTTTTGGAGTTTGGGAAAATTTTCCCCTTTCTGCGTCTCCAGTAATAATACCTGGTTAATCTCCCATGTAATAGTAATTTTCTGTTCCTGCATTTCTTTTAGACATTGCAGTGTAACATTTTCCTTGCCTGAAAAAAGCAGATCTAGTGAATAATGTTGATGGTGATTTTTTTAATCATCTAAATTGGGAAATGTTATTTTCTTCTTTTATTATAACAGATTTTCAAGCAAAAATACACCATTCCAAAGCATGGTTTCTCAACTATAGTACTAGTGATATTTTGGGCCAGATGATTATTTGGGGTTTTGGTTGTTCTTTTTTTTAAGATTTATTGGGGAGAGAAGAAGAGAATCCTCAAGCAGACTCCCTGCTGAGCAGGAAGCCCCACGTGGGGTTTGATCCCAGGACCCAGAGATCATGACCTGAGCCGGAGTTAAGAGTTGGACACTTAACCGACTGAGCCACCCAGGCGCCTCTTTTTTGGTTTTTCTTTTTTTAGAGGTGGGGCAGGGGGAGGAGCAGAGGGAGAGAGAGAATCTTACCAGGCTCCATGCCCAGTGTGGACGGAGCACGACAAGGGGCTCGATCTCAGGACCCTGAGATCATGATCTTCGCCGATATCAGGAGTCAGACACTTACCTGCCTGAGCCACCCAGATGCCCCCAGATGATTATTTGTTTTGGAGAACTATCTTGCACCTTGTAGGATACTTGGCAGCACCTCTGCCCTCTGGCCTGTGGATGCCAGTAGAACTTACCTCCAGTTTAGAATCACTGCTGTAAAGAATGAGCATTTGAGAAACTATTAAACTCTCCTTTACCCTAATCCTCTAGTTCTGTTCAGAAATTTGATAAAAACTCTAGACTTCAGAACCACTCTGAAATCCCAGTGCCACTGGTGACTTGCTGATGACGATGACCATGTTCTTGTGTTACTGTGCCTAAGTTTCCTTGTTTTTAAAATGTACAGATGTTCTGATGAGACCGTTGTGAAGATTACATGAGTTTACGTATGTAAGGTCAGACTGACTGGATAGATGAGGTTAGCTGTCTTGCTTTCATCCCTTTCTTCCTTTCTCACCTACTCATCCATTTACTGCAGTGCAGAGTTCTGAGAGCATAAGTCACTATGTGTACATGCACTCATTTTTAATTCAGTACATTTTCAGGTATATTGAGTATCTGTACACCTATTCATTAATTTATTTTTAAAATGTGTGTTAACCGCATATGTTCTAAGGAATGTCATTTTGTGCTTGATGTTTTACAGTATTCTGAATTATCACCAACTTAAGGATTCATGATTTTGTTGATATCTGCTATGCACATTCTTGTTAATATCTTCTTGCTCACCTTCTTAACATAGTGCAGTCTTTTTTTTTTTTTAACTTGTTCAGTGCTGCAACTGTATTTTGTCCTTTTTGTTTTACTGTTCCTCTCTTTAGCTGGAATAATTCCAGGTTTGAATATTCTCCCTTTCTTAGGATCTGTATTTAAACATAGAGGGAAGAATAGTTTCTTCAACTGATTTTTATATGCCCATAACATTATTTATATATACGTCTTTTAATGTTTTCCTCCAAAGGCATAGGTTAAATAAAACTGTGATTTGGAGATGAGAATGAGAATAATTAAACTTTACTTTGACTCTCTTCTCTAAAATACCAATTCATCCTCCAACTTCAAAGACACAATTTTATAATGCAGTTCTAAGAATTTCAGATGTGAATAAGTATTCTTAGAGAGCAAGTGTTGTGAGCATTTTGGCTTTGACTTTTATTTTTAAATTTAAGGATGCCACTGATGGGGCATATTTAACATAAGCTAGTTGAATAATGAAAAAAGAGACTGGCAAAGCAGTATGGTTTTTAGATATGACAGCTTGCATTCCGGGAGAAATTGCCTTTTATAATAAACTCCTGGAGTATCAGAATTACCAAACCTGCTTGGATTGGACACTTGGTACCTCTCCATAATTCTTGTTTATCTCAAAATTAGCATATGTAATATCCCCACTTGGAAATTTATTATTATTTAAGAAATTTCTAAGATAAATCATTTTACAACATTTAGAATGTTAGACTAGTCCTATCAAGATAACAGGTTCCAAAGAGTAGTGTTTTGGTATAGTTTAAACATAGTTAAATAAAAGGCAGTTTATAATTTTTAAAATGTAGACATGTTGTTTTACCTGAGTTATGCTTGGTTTAAACTGACCATTTTTAAATGAATATTTAATATGATAGACTTTTGGGGTACCTGGCTGGCTCAGTCAGAAGAGCATGTGACTGTTGATCTCAGGGTCGTGAGTTTGAGCCCCACGTTGGATGTAGAGATTACTTAAAAAATTAAAAAAAAAAAACAAAAAAAAACATGATAGGCTTTCATTTTTATCCCTTAAAATAGGAAGCATTTTTTACTTCTAGGTCATGTATTCTTTAGTATTTTATAATATTTTCTTTTATCTGTAAATATTTGACCACAGATTTTAGTAGCTTTTCTATAGTAAAAATTGGTTCTCAATTTTTTTAGTCTTTCACAAGAAAAATGCCTTAGAAACATCGTGTGTGGTAACAGCTTTATTGAGATGTAATTCATAGACCATACATTTCATCCACATAAAGTGTACAACTCAGTAGTATTTAGAATATTCGCAGTCATGCAGCCATCACCACAGTTGATTTTAGAGCATTTTCATCACTTCCGGAAGGAAGCATGTACTCTTTTGTAGTCTTCATTCACTCACCATACCCCCGCCCCCAGCTCAAGGCATTAGAGCAAGGGCTTGAGAGTAGTAAGGGTGGAGAGTAGAACATGCATCCTCGAAAGACGGGGCCTTCAAGGTAGAGTCAGTTTTATTCTCTGTGATGAATTATACAATTATTGGTTTCCATCTAACAATACCGTTTAAG